TTTCAGCGTTAAGTGACGACCCACATGAATGTCGTCATCGCATGTCTAAACTAACAGTGGTCACGAACATGAGACAGAGCGACGAGATGAACCGCACTAGCGCTGTAAGAACCAATGAGAGCCCTGGCACTCCGGGTTCCAATGAATGAGGCAAATCCAACACCATTCAAATTTACACCGCGAACAGGTCATGTGATTACATCCACCTAAAGCCATACAAGAGATATAAATTGAATAACATTTTTAGTGTCACGGCAAAGCAAACAAGATGAACAAGGGACAGGGGGGTGTTGGGAATATTGTGGGGGAGGGGGCGGGAGAAGATATTTCCTTACCATTTTTCTCTGTGTTTGTGTTACATCCGGGACACTTCTTACTGATCTGCTCAATCACCTGTTTCGCCTCAGCCTCCCACCGCGCTCGTCTGGCGTTTTCCGCGTTCACTCGATAGTTCTAGGGCATTAGGGACGAATATTAATAAATAACGACTAGGAAAATTTGTTCACATGTTATTTATAACACATTTTCAATTACGCTTGTGTGCCCAAGGCGCTTTGTTTCGCACTGTAGCTGTTGAGACATTTTTCTATTTTATCCAGTATTCATAGGTAGATAACAAACACCACAGAGGTGTAACGCTGACTGTTATGAGGTGACCGTGGGCTTTCAAGGCAGATATACTCACGCTGAGTCGAGCAGCAGTCGTCCGGTTTGACTGGTTCTGATGACACTCGTGACCTCGTCTGAAGGGCTCCTTGCATTCTTTACAGAACTCCAGCTGAAAGCAAACTCATGACAGAAGATAATTAACAAAGACCCATTGACGAAGCCTCTCGGTTTTAAAATAAAAGCCTACCCAAGGACGAACAGTAGTCGGAGTTCCGGTGGGAGGTGCTCGGGGAGAGGTAGCCCCATGCTTCGAATTAGTTTCCGGAATGCGAGGTCTGGGTTTGAGCCCTGGATTGAATTCTTAAGTCTTGCTATTAGCCAAGACACTTTACTCTCACTTTGTCTCTCCCCATCCAGGAGAATGATTGGGCACGGCAACTTTTACGGCAATCGCACAGTTCATTGCAATCTATTAAAATGCTGCGGGAGGGGTGGGGGGTGGGGGGGGGGGGGGGTACTCCCTCCATTAAAATAGCATCCCGTCCAGGAAAGTAACAATATTGCGAATTAGTTCATGCTATGGAAAGCACAGTTAAACGCCAACACCCATGTGTCCCTCCTGTGTTGCGGCCAGGAACCTGTAGCCATTCCGCCTCCGACGACTCACGGCTGAGCCCTCAGTCCAACAAAAAAGCGCAGCTTTCATAAGCAGCTATAAGATAAAAGCCCAGAAGTCGACCCCCCTAAGAGTGAACAAGTCGTGTATTTTGTTACCTTGCATCCATCACACTTCACAGAGCGCATGCCTGGTTCTGGTAACAGACCCATTCCGCAGCCACGGCCTGGGCACAACACACCGCCATTCTTCAAAACAAACTCCTCCGTTCCAAACCTGTGATATCGCTGATACTGCAAGAAAACACACCGTATTGGTAAGAAGACAAAATTTCAACCCAAGACTTAATACAAAATTATACGCCAAAAGGCAAATCTTTGTTTGCGCAAAATTGCAAAGGAATAGCGCAAGTACTAAGTCTTCACGCTTTCAACTTCGTTCATATTTCCTTAATTTCTCTCCTCGCTGTAGTTAGCCATCCTCATGCACTTCATTCCGAATAGCAATTCCGTTTCCAGAGGCTGCGATCCTTTTGATCAGCACCAAGAAATCGCGACCTTATCGGAAGGTGAGCCGGCATAAGTCAGAGCGGTTACTCTCTCTACGCATGTTCAGAAACCGTTATTGGACTTGAGTGCATCTGCAAAATCATTCTGGTTCCGGTTTTTGATTTCGTCCTGAGCGCCAAGCGTTTGGTCGTGTGGAATGTTTGTTGGTATGTGTGTTTTTGTGCTTTTCAAAATGGTAGCAAATTTATGACAGTGCCAAGGGTTTAAACAGAGGATCAAACGGCTGAGCATCGCGATGACTTGGTCCACTAACCTGATCCTCACTGAGCACACGAAAATGATGCGCCTCTGAAATAAGGGCACTGTTGCAGCTACCTGCAGAAAATGTTCACATCATACAATATTGGTTAATCCTTCTTTCAACAAATGAATTGCTAGAATCTGCTGGACCACTTTAATTTATACCATAATCCGGATTTTTTCATTTTGCAAAGTTCACTTTTTTATGCGCTGAAACGATTTCCAGCAAAATCATTTTCCCTCAAAATTCGATTAACTATCGAAACAACTAACACCACCTTCTAATTTAAAAGAGCCTCTAATTTAGGGATATTTGCTCAAAACTTAAATCAAACCGTTAAAAACCAAACTACTGCACGTACGGTAAGGGAGCAGACCCCTTCAGACAGATTCTTAGAGCCGTGACACCATAGAAACGTGTGGGCTTCGGGGGTATGTTACCCGTCTTCCCCCGGAAACTGAAATCTCTGGGTTTTTGAGATGCTGTTTCCTGCGTTCAGGAAGCATTTGTCGGCAAAAGACTTAGAAGGATAGATATTAAATTACTGAGCATAGAAAGAGACTAACGACTTCCAGAAATGTCACTCTTCAAATCTTGCAAAAATTGATTGATCGCTAGTCGCTCTTCCCCCCGTCCCCTCCTCTCCCCCCTACCCTATCGAAAAAAAAA